TTTTTTTTTTTTTTTTTTGATACTGGGCACTGAACCCAGGGATCTGAGCTACATCCCTAGCCTTTCTTTATTTGAGACAAGATCTTGCTAAATTATAAATTGCCCAGCTGATCTGGAACTTGGAATCTTCTTGTCTCAGCCTCGCAGAGTGTGGGATCATAGGTGTGTGCCACCATGCCTGGCTCAGGGAAAAGTTAAAAAAAATCCATTCCTTATTGCATTCTATCAAAAGGAAAAGGCAGACCTGGGATTTAGCTCAGTGGTTCCACCGCCTGCCTCATAAGCGCAAGGGCCAGAGTTCGATCCCCGGTACCAAAAAAAAAAAAAAGAGAGAGAGAGAAAGGGTTCTGCCACTTCTACCCCTGGGCTTTATGATAGGGATTAATGCTTGCTGCCTCTTGAAAAGGCTGATACAAGAAAAAGTAGAAGGGGAATTAAAATGCTGATTCTAGTCCCACACTCTGGGCTTCCGATCTGTGTAACAGCAGAAATGGACTGCACAATTCCCAAAGCTGTCTTCAGCTCTGCAACTGAGATTCCTAGGAGACCAAACCATCTCACTTTATAATCACATTTGAAAAGGTGGGATTAATGTGCAAGGTAAACGAAGATGACTATGCTTACACCGTGAAAGCGTTACACTTGCCCTCTGTCTCCTGGCATTTTTCAATTCAAACATCTCCTAAATGACTACAGTGTTCTACTGAACCCTTCCACGTTGAACCGAAAAGTTGCTCCTAGCTTTGATTTAGCTCTAATTTTCAATAGATTTTTATGTAGAACATTTTGAAGGATGTAAAAAGACCGGCATCCCACCTGGTCACTCTCTCTCCAAAGCGAGGGAGCCGTTCTGACCCACTTCCGCCCCTCAGCGCCTGTAACCCTGCACACGCTCTGCATGCACTTCTAAGTGCATTCATCTCTGGCTCCACAGGTGGTGCTGGAGGAAACACGAGCACGAGGGCCAGTGTGATCACCCGGGCACAACAGAGTCACGGATTCTCATGCTCTTCCCAACACAGAGCACTGTTCTCTCTCTTCACGATGTTCTTTGCAGTTTGACTTCCATGGACAGGCTATCATTTCTTTTTGAGACAGGGTCTCACTATGTAGTGAGACTGACCTGGAACTCACTGTGTAGCCCAGGCTGGTCTCGAACTCACAGTGATCCTCCTGCCTCAGCCTCCTGAGTGCTGGGATTACAGGCATGCGCACCACGCCCGGCTGACAGGTTATGATTTCTAAAGAAAACATGGCCACTAGACTAACAGAGTTAAATTTAAGAAACAACTTCTAAGAAGAAAAAAAAATGCAGATGAGCTTTAAGAACCTTAAAAAAAGATATAGGCAACACATCTCTCATAAACTGTCTACATGAACTGGACATAAAATAGCCCCAAACAGACAAGAGACCTTGGGATACTGGTTGATTTCATATTAAAAAGTTGACGGGCATTTAGTAATTTTTATTTTAGAATTAACCTTGTAGAAATATTATACTAGGAAAAAAACTTGAGGTTCACTATTCAGAAAAGTTTGAAGGACTCTTTACACACACACACAAAACCAATTTTGATTTAAAGCTTTCTCTCAGAAGAAAAAGAAACATGTAGTTTGTACAATTAAAAAAAAAAAGTTTTGTTACCCAGGCATGGTGGCACACGCCTGTAATCCCAACACTGGGGAGGCTGAGGCAGGAGGATGGCTGTGAGACCAGCCTCAGCTACTTAGTGAGTTCCAGGTCAGTTTCAACTACATAGTGAGACCAAAACAAACAAAAAAACCAAAAAAAGCTTCTCATGTTTTTTAATTGGCAGGTGGAAAATGAAAGCTAAGCCAAATAGCAAAACATCATGGGTTTTGATCACTTAGACAATTAGAGTGAAAACATTTCTCAACTGCAGCTAGGCGAATCTCAACACATGGGAGGCTGAGGCAGGAGGATCACAAATTGGAGGCCAGTCTGGGCTATACAGTGAGACCTTGTCTCAAAAAAAAAAAAAAAAAAAAAAAAAAGTATACATTTCTTAGGTTTTTTTGTTTTTTTTTTGTACCAGGGGTCAAACTCAGGTCCTTGAGCTTGGGAGGCAGGCAGCGGAACCACTGAGCTAAATCCCCAGTCTATATTTCTTGACAGACAGATAAATCTATCCTGCAATCAAAAAGAGGCAAAATTCTACGTCCACAGTTACAAAGTTGAATCGGGTGCACATACAGTCCCGGAGCTCAGGATTAGTTGAGTCCAGGAGTTCAAGACCAACCTGGACAACACAGAACAGTTCCACCTAAAAAAATTGCAAAATAAATTGAGTGGCTGTCAGTTAAATTGACAAGCGACGATCTGAATTTAATAAATTAGTTGCTTATGAGTTGTAAATTTCAAATGAATTTACATTGAGGCTTAGCGGTGGTGAATATATAAAACAGAAGTTTATCATCTCACAATATTTGATGGCAAGGAAAAGAGAAACTTGTATTTGTGTGTGCATGCAGTGCAGTTTATTTGTTTGTTTTTTAATTTTTTTTAGTACTGGGGATCAAACTCGGGACCTTGTGATTGTGAGGCAGGCAGCAGAACCACTAAATCCATGGCCTGCAGTGTAGTTTATATCCTAAGAAATAAATTCTACCATAATGAAAACTAAATCACAGTAACACATTACCAAAAATATACAGACACCATAGCTTGAATTTTTCCACTTTTCTTTGCAGTGACAGCCACTTTGGTTTATTAGTTCTAAATGAAATGCAAGCCCTTCCCAGAGATACCAGGGAGCTCCCAGCATCTGCCACACAAACGACAGAGCCAGGTGGCCCAAAGCAAACAGCCATAATCATGAGATTTTTATGTGAGAGGTTACCATCTGAACAGACCCCAAAGCACTAAAAGATCTCTGCTACCTTAGGAGGTTCAGATATACATTAAAAAAAAAAAAAAAAAAAGGGAACATTCCACAAATTTGCGTGTCATCTTTGCACAGGGGCCATGCTAATCTTCTCTGTATCGTTCCAATTTTATATATGTGCTGCCAAAGCGAGCACTCAGATATACATTCGGAGACACCAGCAGGAAACAATTGCATTTTAGAGAAAAATGTTAACTACAAGTCAAGGTTAAAAAAAAGTCACCCAAAAAGAAAAGCATGATCTCTCCCCTCATCCCCTAATTCATAAAAAAATAGTATGACTTTGCTTCCTAAGCAGGCTGAAGATGTTTAGATGGAAACATTTAAAAAATGGTCTTCAGAAAATCTTATCATTACATTTTCTAAAGTAAAGACTACAAGTGACCAAATGCACATTACATACAGCACACACTTGGACTTGTGCCGTTCAGTTCTGGTGATCAGAGTGGATTTGGCAGTTCTTCCCCAAAGCTAATGAAAATACTTGAGAAAATGAGTTTTATGCATTTTTGAGAATTACTCTGAATTTCTTTTAGGGCAAAAAATGTCACATATACTGAACAATCACCTTTCATCAATATATTAGTTAGAAGCTATTATACCAGTACAAAAATACCCACACCAGGTTATTAAAATTGAAGATGTTTTAAATTTGTAAAAATGCTACTGCGCTGGGTGATTATAACTCTGATTTTCGGTACCTCGTGCTATATGCAATCAGACACTAAAGTTGGCGGGGAGGGGAGAGGCATTGTCCTAAATTGCTACTGTTTAAAAAGGTCATGAGTTGTTACATTTTGGGCCTAACCCTTTACAGTGCCATTTAGGACATCAGGCAAATTCAAACAGGGAAAGCGGGCTCCGCCCGCCCCAGGCCTGCAGCCGCCTCAGGGCGCACAGTCGAAGGTCTGCAACTCGCTCAGCGCTGCAGTCGGAGGGTCCGGGCGCCGAGTCTGGGTTATTTTCTGTTTGGGGTTTTTCGTTTCTTCCTCCTCCTCGGTTTCGCTCTCACAGACGTGCACCACCACGCTGGGGGTGGACTCGGTTCCCGCGTGCAGTTCGTACTTCTCCCCTGCCGAGGCAAGCACAGAAGAACTTCGGGGAAGCCGCGCTTCCAGCAAACACGCTTTGTCTCACAACTCCATGTTCTCCTGATATTGCTGGTGTTTTGTTTTTTTAAAATCTTTAAATCCTATGTCATTGTAATAATTTTGGTATTAGAGATTTTATTTTTAAAATTATTTATCTATGGTCTTTGGAGACAAGGTCTTGCTATGTAGTTCAGCCTGGCCTCGAACCAACTGTGTGTTGCCCAGGCTGTCCCTGAACTCTTGGAGACCCTTCTGCCTCAGCCTCCCAGGTGCTGCGATTACAGGGGAGTGATTACACTACTCCTGGTTTGCTGTTAGAGATTTAATAGTTTAACTCCTCATGTCTGTGCTAAGGATTGAACCCAGACTTCATTCATGCTAGGTGGGCACTGTACCCCACTTATTTATTTATTCAGATTGAACCCTGGCCCTTTGCAATAAGCTACATTCTCAACTCTTTTTATTAGTTTGAGACAAGGTCTCAGTAAATCACTGAATTGCCCAGGCTGTGCTCAAAGTTACAATCTTCCAGGTACTATGCCAACACACCCAACTGTAGTTTTCTTATTTTGAGACATGAAGTGTCCAGGCTCTTTAAATTTGTGATCCTCCTGCCTCAGCTTCCAGAGTAGCTGGGACTACAGGCCTGTACCAGCTACCACTCCCAGCTGAGAATCGATACTTCAAAGGCTCTTATAAAATATTGTTATTATAGTCTCAAGGTCTTAGGGGTTAAAATGTCGATGCTAATTACTGTTCTATGAATAATGTGAAGGAATCTGCCTAACTTCACAATGGTTTCTGCTGGCAAGGCCCCAGGCAGCACAGGCAGTCTCTATTCTCCACCTCAGATCTCTGAGGTCCGAAAACACCACCAGTGCTTCTCCTCAAAGGCCTCTGGTGTCCCCCGTGAGAGCCACAAAACTGTCTCCAGTGGACACCTAGTCCGAACCGCATTGAATCAGTTTATTAATTTAAAGGGATGAAAGAGGGAAAAAAGAAATGCCAAATAAATGAAAATTTTTGGTACCGGCGATTGAACTTGGGTCCTTGTGCTTGTGAGGCAGGTGGAAGAACCACTGAGCTAAATCCCCCGCAAAAATAAATGAAAGTAAAGAGAAAAAACTGGAAGGCTGATATGACATCACCCTTAATTCCCTGGAATATATTGAAAGTAGCTGTCATCTGTCTAGTGCGCTTGGAGAGGAGGCAACTAGTAGTCACTAACTGCCTATTTAAGTCCCAGGAGAATGTGTAACAGTAATAACTGAAGTTTTATTTATGGAGTGTCATATACACAGTCATAAATGCATTGGACGGTAGATATTAGGGTTTTCTCTGGTACAGGGAGGGAAAAATCAAGACTTAGGAAGCTGAAGCTAAGCAACCTGCTCAGGATTACAGAACTAGAATCTGAACCCAGGCCCGTGTGACTTTGCTCTCTACTCTGTTCTGTTGCTGGTTGGCTAGAACATGTGTTGCTGGATATGTTTTTTATGGTCTTGGAGACTGAACCTAGGGCCTTCACACTGGGCTACATTCTTAGCCCCTTTAACATTTTTATTTTTGAGAAAGGGTCTTGCCAAGTTGCTAAATTGCCCAGGGCTCAAACTTTCGATCCTCCTGTCTCAGCCTCCCAGAGTGCTGTGATTACAGGTGTGTACCAGCAGTCTTGGTGTGAATACAGTCCTAAACTCCTAGGACACATATAGGAAAAAGCAGAAGTTCGTTACCTGGTCCCAATTTGGCAACGGCACAGAGTAAGTCGTAGTTGATCACAGGCATTGCATCCTCACTCTGCTTCCAGCCCACGGGAGGAGAGGCCGGCGGGGAGATGAGGAACTGCTTGGTGGGCTGTGGTGGCCGCAGGTAGGATCTGTCCCGGGCCTCACCGGACATCTGCACCTGTGGGCAAGGAGATGCTTGCGAGCACCTTGCAAATGGGGCCATTTTTCTAGATTTACATCTTTACATTGTTGCTACCTTTGGAGAAAATTTAAAAATTTTCCAAATGGTCTGTGATCACCAAGAAGGTGGGACTTGGTCCTTGTGGCTCACTGCTCAGGAGCCACATACATTAGGTGCTCAATGAACCAAGGACTACGTGGGTGAGGAGATGAACAGGAAATGCATGGCAGTGACCCCTTGCTATGGAATGGATCTTGAGCAGCGCCCAGTAGTCCCTGTGCTAAAGCCCTGCTCCCAGGGGGTGTGGCACCGGGGATGGCACCTTTGGAAGGTGGGGCCTACCAGGAGGGCTGCACGCCCTGGACAGGACAGCAGCATTCCTGGCCCTTTCTCTCCCCTCCTCTTTTGCCTCTCCACAGTGAGGTAAGTGGCTTTGCTCTGCCATGTGCACAGCCATCATGTACCACCCTCTCCAAAAGGCTCAAAGCAACAAGGACAACTGAGCATGCGCTGAACCCTCTCAAACTGTGAGCCAATGCAGAGCACTGCCCTCTCCAAGGGGATTATCTCAGGTTTTTCTTAGACAGAAATCTGGCTGACACATGACTAAATTTTAATCTTAGAAGAGATAAAGCTATCATATTTTGAACTCCATCTCAAGAGACTATGAGGAAATTTCTAGATAGCTCTCGTATTTAGCTTTCATTGGAATGTAAAACAATAAACCTCTCTTGCTTTAATTAATTTGAAAGCTAAAACCAAGAAAAAATACTTTCTTGGAAAATAGAACACTGTACTTCATTCCTGAGTAGAGATTTAAGGCCTTTGTTTGGTCAGTTCTTTTGAGAGAGAAAAAAAAGGCCTCTCAAAGAGCTATGCACGTGTAGGAATAGAACTAGGAACCAAATGTTGGCAACCCTGAAAATAAAACAGCCACTCTGTGCATTCTACGCCCCCTCCTGGTCATCACTTGATGAGCAGCTTTTGGCCTGCGTATTCCTCCTGAGAGTCACAAACAGGAAATGATTCAAAAGACTATTTTCTCTTTTAACAGCTATTTTGATAAAGGACTATTATCTAGAATATGTAAAGAACTCAAAAAAATCAGCCCCCCAAATTTAAAGACCCAATGCAAAAATGGGCATCTGAAATAAAAAAGACACTTCTCAGATGAAGTAGAAACAGAAAATAAACACATGAAAAAATGTTCAACATCACTGGTCATTCAAGAGATGCAAATTAAAACAGTCCTGAGATGCCATCTCACTCCACAAAGAATGGCTGCTATCAAGAAATCAACCAATAACAAATGCTGAGGGGGCTCTGGGGAAAAAGGAGCCCTTCTCCACTGTTGCTGCAACCACTATGGAAATCAGCACGGAGATTTCTCAAACTAAAACCAGAGGTTCCATTTGACCCAGCTATACCTCTTCTAGTTATCTCCTGAAAGAATACCACATACTACATACCACATACCACAGTGAAATATGCATACACGTTTATAGCAGCACAGTTTATAAAAGCTAAATCTTAGAAACAGCCCTAATGCCTATCAATTGACAAGTGGATAAAGGAGATGCGTTTTTTTATACAACGGAGTACTACTCTGCCAAAAAGAAGGGTGTGCTTCAGACATTTACAGCTAAATGGATGCACCTTGAGACCATACTTTTAAGTGAAATAAATCAGACACACGTTTAAATACCACATTGTTTCTCTGGTGTGAGAAAATGAAATTGGAAATAAGGACTGAGATGTATAATGGATATTGGGAAATGGAAAGAAAGTGATCAAACTGGAAGTGGAATAAGGGAGGAGGGAGGGAGAAAGGAAGGAAGGAAAGGACAACAAAAAAAGTGAAGACAGAAGGAAAATATGGAAACAAAGCTTTTGTACATAGGGTGGGGAGAGCACCTGAGGGAGAATGGGATAAAAAACATTAACTAATTTTTTAAAAAGTCTATTTTCTGCATTCTCCCAAGGATGTCACATGACGAGTGCCACTGCAGATGTAGAGGAAAAAAGCTAATTAATCACCTCAGGGTGTCAGGGCTCAACTCTCAGAGCCCCAGCTGAGCAAAACAGCCAGAAAAATGAATTCCTTTCACTATTGGTCTTGGTCAAAGTTATAAAAGGAAAATTTTTTTACATCATTTGCTGACTGGGATCTTTCACTTCAAAAAAAAAAAAAAAATCTCTGGGCCAGGTGTGGCACATGACTGTAATCCCTGCACTTGGGAGGCTGAGGCAGGAGGATCGCTGTGAGTTTGGGCTACATAGTGAGCTCCAGGTCAGTCTCAACTACGCAGTGAGACCCTGTCTCAAAAAAAACAACAGCAACAAAACAAAACAAAAATCTCTGATATAATAATATAGAAACAGTCAAGTGGAAATATTTGTAGATGGAGAACAAGCAGCGTGGAGAACAGTGTTCTCCGCACCATTCAGTACCTGTGCAAAATACAGCTTCAGTTTCTTCCCGTTGAAGTCTGTTTCATGGAGTTCTATTCGAGCTCTTGCTGCTGCTTCAGGCTTGCTGAAATTTATTCTGACTCTTCTAAAGCTTTTAAATAATTGAAATGTAACTTGGTCATCATAGAGGGAGAAAAGTGCTTCAAATCTCTCCTATAAAACGAGAAGCACCAGGGCAGAGAGAATGGGGAAAAAAGAAAAGGACATTTCCATTTAACAAGCTAATTTAAATCATTAAACATAAGCAATGGGGTAAAACTCATGAATTACCTTTGCTCCAAGAAAGCATAGTTGTCTTGTAGATATACAAGATTAAGTATCCTATGATTCACATACTAAATTCTGCAATTTATACTTATGTGTAAGTAACTATTAAATACTGTAGAGATTCAAAGGCATAAAATATGATACAAACATCCTATTATGGAATATTACTGCTGTTTTGAAGTCCCCAGTGGGCCAGAGTTGGTTTTTTTCCCTCATCATATTCCATCCCTTTGTCTGAGTAACCATTTCTGGAATTTTATACTTATCTGTTTTTCTTCATAGTTTTACATTTATTCACATCCTTCAAAGTATAACCATACTTTGTGTATTCTTTTGCAGTTTTTGGCTCAGATTCTGTTCCTATTATTCTTTCTTGTTGCTGTTAATTCATTCTTTTTCACAGCACAGAGCTGCATCACAGTTCCTCTGTTGTAACGCTGACCCGATCAAGATGGCCTCCAGTTTTTCACTGCTACAGTGCTACTGTGAACATTCTTACACAAAGCTCTCACTGCTTCTCTGGTGTGTATCCTTAGATAGATGTGGTACTCTTTGGACTTTGGAATTGACACATCTTTAACTTCAGTAGATAATGCAAGATACTTTTTCAAAGAGTTTTTACCAATTTATTCTCTAAGAACCAGTACACATTCTGGCTGATTTATATCTCTGCCTGTGTTTGATAGTTAAGACTCCTAGATTTTTATCCATGGGAGGGAGGAAACAGGAAATATCTCTAGCTTTAGCTATAACTCACATGTTCCTGAATAATAACAAGATTGAGTGTCTTTTCACATGAAAACTGATCATCTGGGGTTCCCTTTTAATGTAAAATACCTGTTCACACCCTTTGCCCATTTTTCTATTGGGTGATTTTTTTTTTTTTGAGTCATGAGATTTCTATAGAGATACTACTTTTCTGTCAATTATATTTGTCACTGAATATTTTTCTCCTAATTCTTTTCACTGTTGTTTCATTTCCTTCTTTATTCTCTGTTTCTTTTGAAATAGAAATTTTAAATTTGAATATCACCAAATTTTGTAATCTCCTCTTTTTTGTGCCCTAAGAAATTCTTTTACACTCTTGAGATCATGACGATGTTCTACTGGAGTGCCTTCACGAAGTTTTATGGTTTTACCTTTTACATGTTTTAACATAAAACAGATGTTTACACATGAGGAACCCTCTTCTCTGTGTCAACTACTATTTTCTCTCTGTCCGTAAAAATTAGGTTGTATTTTCTACAATTTCATATAAATGGAATCATATAGTATATATTCTTTTATTGGAGAGGTCTGGCTTTTTTCACTAAGCATAATTATTTTGAAATTCATCCATGTTACCGTGTCCTTTTTTGGTTCCACATGTCAAGCAGAATTCTACTGTAAGGGTGCTTACCCATTTATCTTTTAATGGACATCTACATTCTTTCTAGTTTTGAACTATTTATTACAAACAAAGCTGCTATAAACTTCTGAGTACAAGGTTTTTGTATAGATGTACAACTTTATATCTTTTGGGTAACTACCTAGGATGAAGCACTGAAGTGTATGACAGGTATATAATTTACTTTTCTGAAGCTACCAAACTGCTTTCCAAAGTATTTGTACTATTTTAAAGTTCCACCAATAGTGTATGAGATTCCCAGTTGCTCTGTATCTTCAATAATACTTGGTATGATTAGTGTTTATTCTAAATGCTTCTACTGGGTATGCAGTATTATCTTTCTGTAGCTTTAATTTCCAATTGCCTAAAACTATTCACATCGAGCTTCTTTTCATAAGGTTAATTACCATTTCTATAAACTTTTTGGATCAAGGGCCTATTCAAATCTTTCCCCATTTTTAATTTGGGCCGTTTTCTTATTAAGTTGTAAGAGTTCTTTTATGTGTCTTAGGTATAAGCCCTTTGTTGAACATGTTTTGCAAATATTTTCTCCCAGCTTGTTGTTCCACCTTTTTATTTTGGAATAATATCTTTTGAAGAAGCAAATGAATGAAGTCCAACTTGTTGACTATATTTTATACCTTGAGCTTTTTGGGTTATATTTAAGACATCTCTGCCATACCTAAGATCACTAAGATTTTAAGTTTTTTAGATTAGTTCTTAATTATGATTCATTTTGACTTAATTTTTAAGTAGTTCAGTCAAAGGATTCAAGTTTAGTTTTTTGTTTGTTTGTTTGTTTGTTTGGTACTGGGGATTGAACTTGGGTCCTTGCACTTGCAAGGCAGGCCACTTCAAGTTTAGTTTTTACTAGTACCAGTTACTGAAAAGATTATGCTCCACCATGTGCTAAAAACTATAAAACCTAGTTGAGAGAAATTAAAGACCTATGGACAAATCTACCTTTCTCCTCTGGGCATCACTTTTTTTTTTTTTTTATCTTATTGAGTTTATTGGTATTTTTAAAAGTATACAGCATAGCTACTTTCATCATTGGGATCTTGTACCTTTATAATGACAGGTCTTGGTTCTTATTTTTTCCCCATAACCCTGCCCTCCCTTCACCCCCTCAACCCTCCCTTATTTACAAAGACTTTGTTTCCATTTTTTCTTTTTCTCATATTTTTTTCTTTTCCCTTATTTCCTTTCCCCTACCCTTCCCATTTCCCCTACATCTCTTTTTCCTATTACTGGGCCTATGTACTCATTTCCCATAAAGGCTGGTGCCTTTATTCTTTCTTTTGAATTTGTTCTTTTTCTATCTGCTTAAGATGGATACTTGGTCTATTCATCTTTTTTCTAGTGTTTAAAAGATATACAGTATCTTTCAAAGTATTATTTTAGCTGTTCCCTCACTCATTTTGATATACTTTGTTTTCATTATTGAATCTAAATATTTTCTACTTTTCATTATGATTTCTTCCTTGTCTCATGACTTGTTTAGATATACATTTTTAAAATTCCAAATAGGTGAGATTTTCACTTTTAAAAATCTTTTAATATCTAACTATTATCACTGTGATCAGAGAAAGCTATCTATAGTGACAGTAATCTGTTGAGATTTTTTCCCAGCTCTTTTTATTTTTTATTCTCAGACAGGATTTTGCTAAACTGCTCAAACTGGCTTTGAACTTGTGATCCTCCTGATTCAGCCTTGTGAGTCACTGGGATTATAATCATCTGCCATCATGCTCAACTGTATCCTACTTTTATTCAGTATATTGTTTCTATGTACATACTAAAATACAATGGAAAAATATCCACTTTGATGTTTAGATATTTTATTATACACAGAGGATTTTTAAGTAGCATGTCATTTCTTTAAAAAGAAATAAGGGTGGGCCGGGGATTTAGCTCAGTGGTGACACTGCCTGCCTTGCAAGCACAAGGACCTGAGTTCAATCCCCAGTACCACCCCCGCCCTGCAAAAAAAAGAAGTAAGGGGCTGGGGATTTAGCTCAGTGGTTCCACTCCCTGCCTTGCAAGTGCAAAGTTCTGAGTTTGATCCCTGGTACCAAAAATAAAATAAAAAGAAATGTGAACATGTAAATATATTAAATGCTAATAATTATTACATCTAGGTACATTTCACAGTTCTCTCAGTATCCTTTTAAAAGATTTACTATTTTTCAAAGAATTAAGATTTTACATTTAATTTTTGGAAGTAGCTTTTTAAAGATAATTTTTTTTTGTTTTGTTTTATTTTTTTTGGTACAAAGGATCAAACTCTGGACCTTGCACTTTAGAGGCAGGTGGCAGAACCACTGAGCTAAATCTTAAAGATACATTTTGAATACTATGAAAATATTAAAATTCCCATTTGAGATAATTAAGAAATATCAAAACTGAGCCCAGCGGAGATGGAAATTAAGTACAAATTAATTAAGTATGGTTTATGAAATATCTGTATTTGGTATTTCTGTACATATTTTGCTTGCTCAGGGTAATAGGATTATGTATCTATTCTTAATGTCACACAACAATGGATTTTTCAGTGCAGCAATAGCAGGAGTTATCTTGTAAACTAAACAGCTACCTGATAATCATATCTTCTCTCCAGTGTCTCTTCAAGACAACCTTTTCTCATTCCAGAAATGCACTGTAAAGGAATGGAGCATGAAGATGACCGCAATGAATCATATGGCTGTCACTCTTCTAAACCTGAGCATCTTAAACTCGATTAGAATTACACACAAAACTGACCAGGCATAGTGGTGCATGCCCAGAATCCCAGTACTTTGGGAGGCTGAGGCAGGAATGCAAATTCACCCTGTCTAGGCAGCCTTGTGACTTAGCAAGACCCTCTCTCCAAATAAAGAAAAAGGGCTGGGTTCTGTCGCTCAGTACTAAAGTCCTTGGTTCAATGCCCAGTACCATACCTAAAAAAATCCAAACAAAGCCAAACTGAACCAAACTAAAAAAAACCTGTGAGACTGTGGGGGTTTAGCTCAGTGGTCAAGGGTGTGCTTTGCTTGCATGATGCCCTGGGGTTCAACTTCCAGCACAAAAAACAAATAAACTTGGGGAGGGAGGATAAAAGAAATTAATAAAAAACAAAGCCACATGAGAGTTCATGAGTAAGCTTTTTCTAAGGTTTTGTTGTTTTTTTCCCCTTTCACATTCATTTTCTTTTTGATGTAGCACAAATATGGTTTATATAATATATGACTTCTAGTTTTGAAGCCATGTAGAGATAGGAAGAAATGACTCACAGGTAAAACTATTACAGGTTGAGTACCTTTTCTCTGAAATGCCTGGGACCAGAAATATTTCAGATCTGAGTTTTCTGGATTTTGGAATATTTATGTGGAATGTACCAGTTCAACACATCCCTAATCCAAAAATCCCAAACCTGAAATGTTCTGAGATTTAAAATTTCTTCACCACCAAAACAGTGCTCAAAAGTTTTGGATTTTGAAGTATTCTGTATTTCACAGTTTTGGGCTAGGTACAGTCAACCTGTGTTACTTGAGGACACAGGTAAGAGTACTCCGCTGGCAGCTCTTCCTCAGACTGCCCCTGCCAAGCTGGCAAGAGCACAGAGATCTAGAAGACTGCAGACAGAAGTGAGGACATAATCTACGGAAATGCACTGGAAAGCCCTGTACTAAATATATAGATATATAACTGTAGTTTATTAAAAAACCAAATTACAATTATCTCATCCGATCTCACCTGATCTTGGAAGCTAAGCAGGATTCAGCCTGGTTAGTACTTGGATGGGAGAATTATTTCAGCAATAAATCACTTTTATAAGTTTCTAAATTCTCTACTTATACAGAATTCACATCATCCAGTTATAAGGTGATGCTGCACATTTACTTAATTCTTTTTCTTTCTTGTTTTGTTTATTTTTGGTACTGGGGATTGAACTTGGGACTTTGCGCTCGTGAGGCAGGAAGCGGCACCGCTGAGCTACATCTCCGGCCCACATTTACTTAAGATGACGGGGGCACCCAAAGCCAGATCATCACTGACCACTCTGCTCTTCCTGTGGCTTCTTTGTATTCCCTCTGGCAGTAGAACTGCGGCAGGCGTGACACAAAGAATGCAGCCTCCGAGACCAATCCCCAAGACTGTTTCTGTCATGGAAATCAGTGTCACAGAGCAGAAATGTCCCTTTCACCGAGGAGGAAAGTATGCACACAATACTGCTACAGACCTTTACTTTGGCCTGAGAAGAATAAGAAGCCCAATGCTCTGCGCATTAAAGAACGGGAAGAACAATCTGAGGGTGACACTCTGATTCATTCAGCAGTGAAATTATGTGGTGTCCTAAGGTGAGGTATTTTTACATCCTGTGTCTTTCTGTAGATCTGATATAGAAAACTCTATTCTTCAGCGCACAGACACTGTAGATTAGCCAACGGGCAATGCCTCCATTTCTGCCTGAGGACGGCGAGGTGCCTGCAATGGCTGAGCATCTGTCTGTGTGAACTGTGTTGAAAGCTAATCCCCCACCGTGTTGGTATTAAGGGGTTGGACTCTGGGAGGAGACTGAGTCAGGCCTGGGGTGCCGTCATGAACAGGATTAATAGCTGCAGAAGAGAGGCCCGAGGAAGCCTGTCTGTTCCACTGCCCTTCCATCAGGGGGGGACACAGAGAAAGTGCCATCTGTGAAGAACAGGCTCTCATCAGATTCAGCACCTGCCATTATCTGGATGTCCACCCTTTGGAATAACAAGCAGTAAATTTCTGTTATTTATAAATTATCCATTTTAGGGCCAGGGATTTAGTTCTGCTGCCTGCCTTGCAAGCAAAAGGACCTAAGTTCTATCCCTGGTACAAAATAAATAAATAAATAAATAAATAAGTAAGTTAATTAATTAATTAACCTAAATTATCCAGTCTAAGATATTTCATTATAGCAGCCTGAATTACTATTGCTTTTGATTCCTAACATCATTGCCACTAAAATGATCAGAGGAAAAGACTTACCGACCAGAAAAAAAGCACATACAGCTAAGCATGGTGAATTAAAACTCTGAACCGCTGAGCACTAATAAAGTTCTGGGGCTGAAATTCAATAGCAGTAGTGGGGAACAGAACATATGAAAAATTTAAGACCTTTTTTATTTTTGTAGCGCTAGAAATCAAACCCAGTGCTTCATGTTTTAGGCAAACATTCTACCACTGAGTCCCCTCTGTTTTTTTGGTACCAGGAATCAAATTCAGGACCTTGTGCTTGCAAGGCAGACTAAATCCCCAGCCTTCATTTTTTTTTTTTTTTTTTTTTTGGAGATAGGTTCTTGCTATGTTGCCGAGGCTGACCTTGAACTCACAATCTTTCTGTATCAACTTCTGGAGCAGCTTGGATTACTGGTATGTGCCACCATGGCTGGGGGCAGTTCAAAGTCTTGGCTAGAAGAGTCCTGCACATACATACTGATGCATACTCACAATTTTCAAGGTATGAAGGTACCACAGTCAATGATACTCAAATTACGTAGCCCATCAAAAATAATTTTTTTCCCTCCTGCAGTAGTGGAAAAGCTCACATCCTAGGCAAGCAAGATCCCAGCTTTTGACAGGATTGGCTATTATTCTGTTTGTTTTTAAGCCTAAAGGTTGTTTGGTTGTTTACTGAGAAGAGCAGTGAAGACTAAAGAACAGATATGTAATCCTGTGGAAGAGAGAGCAGATGGAACAAAGCTACAGAGAGACCAGAGATGAAGGCAAACTGTCTCCTGCTCACCGTGTCCTCTTGCTGCCCCTCCAGGCTTTGGCATTGTGGGGCATCTCAGACAGGCAGTTAGATTACAGGTAGGCACTTATCTAAACCAAAGTGTCAAAATAGCCCATAGCCATCTCAGGGTTGCAAATCTATCCAGACACTGGGGCTCAAACATATCATTTTGATCAAAGACCGCAAAAGCGCACAGTGAATTTTCTGCCTGCAAACCATGCAAATTGCCCCAGGACAAAGCAAACCATCTCAGCTGTCTAGACTGTTGTTCCGCGCACTCAGGGTTCACTTCAAGGTCTGTCTCACAGCAGATCTGTGCCAGCAGAATGAGGAAGCCAACTGCCGCTATCCAGGGCATCCACTTGCACCTTCACTGTCTTGTCCTCTCCACCCATGAAGTAAGAAAGGGTTAGAAAGTCCAGGTTGTGCCACAATCTCCCGCCCAGCCAGGTCACGTCTCCCCAGAGCACAAGGCGTGCAACCCCTGCAGATGCTGCAATAGTGCCATCAGCACAGTGACTCTTCCATGGTGGTGGTGACTGATCAATGGCTTTCATGAGCAAAGACTGTGCCTGCCTCTTCTGAGAAGGGGACCCAGAACAGGCTGTATCCATTCCTGAGGGCCACCAGTTCTCTGCTCACTGGTATTGGCATGGACAAAATGCTTCTTCTATCTGCACCCAGAAAGAGACAGTTTACTTCTCCCAACATGAGACCACCAAAGACAGACCTCAGGAGGATTCCATAGCCTGGATATTCAAGAAGGTCTATGGCTTCTATTACTAAGCATCTGCTACGTATCAGAGGTCTGGAGTACATGCTGGCTCTGTGTATAGCTGTGTGACCTTGGGCAAGTTCCTTCCCTGTTAGATCAGAATAATAAAAGTACCCACTTCACATGGTTGTTGTGATGATAGTAAGCAAATACCTAGAGCTCCTAGCACAGCGTGTACACCCAGGCAGTACCAGTACTATCACGAACAGAAATAGGGTAGCTAATACAGCTCTTGAGACAGTCCACTTGCCAGTCACAGAAAATCGCTACCCATCTCTCT